CCAAAGAATAAGACTGTACTGTTACAGTGTAATCACCCCTCAATTCCCAGGAAGGAATGACTCACTGAACACTGCAATTACCAAAATCTACAGATGCTCAAGTCCCTCACACACATGGTGACTTTTTTTTATTAGCAGTTGACTAAATCTGTGGATATGGAACCTGCAGTCATAGAAGGCTTACGTATTCAACATGTATTATCTAGTGCTGGGAACAGACCAAGGAAGTCAGAGATGTGTGGTACAACAGCAGGTTTCTATAGGATAGTGTCAGAAAACACCAAGCCAGACCACATCTTTAGGTGCTTTGAGGAATTTTTAAGAACAGATTCACAACAGATTCACTATGGCATGCCAAAGTCCAACCACCATATTCAACTGTTATTAACTAAATGAGATATTAATGCATCTTCAAATTTCTAATTGACAAAAAAGAAGGATAAATCATTAATATGTTAAAAGACAGAATCAGGAACTGGGATAATGATTTAACAAATTTAAGACAATGAAATCGAATGAAATATGTAAATAGATATTTCACCTTTGAAAATGCATTAGGTGCTGAAGAGATGTCTCGGCAGTTAAGAACACATATTGCTCTCAGTATTCATGTCAGGCAGTTCACAACTCCCTGTAGCTCCAGCTCCAGGGTATATATCTCTGACACCCTCTTCTGGCCTCCATGGGCTCCTACACTCACACAAGCTTACCTTGGTACCTATATTTCCAATATTCACTGGTTATGTGCAGTGACTGTCACATTGGGTGGGGAATATAATACTTTCCATAGCACAAGAGGTTCTATTTGCTGGCTAATGAGATATCAAGAACAGATCATTAGATTAATTGACCTGTGGGTGTGTTCAAAAGAGGAGATGCAAGACAGAGGTAAAGACAGAATAAACCCAAGTGATCCTGAGTTAGGATGAGAGGCACCCTATGACTCATATTAGCTTCATACAGAGTCAGGCAGATACAAAAGTTACTGATGTATGACATGCATAGATTAGTATAGAAACATGTATTTTCTAGCTTAGTCTACCTAAAGCCAGTGATACACCAGGACAACAAACATTGAGAATCTCTATCTCAATTATAGTATTATCCTCAATTAATAAGCTTAATTTCAGAAATTTTCATCTTTGTCACTTTTTCATAAATAAAATTTCTGAAATTAAGTTTATTAAAAATTTTTAAAAATCAGCAAGACCTTGTCATTTAAGCATATATAAGTGTGTGTGTGTGTGTGTGTGTGTGTGTGTGTGTGTTCTACCTCTTTTCATTCAAAGAGTCAAGAAAAACTATGCTTCAGTGTCAATAAGCATTCCATAATTCATATTTTGTCTCTAAATACCATTGCTGCAAAAAGAAAATTGAGCTTCTTAGAGAGGCACTAATTCCAAGACTCAGAAAGAAATACATCAGCAAGTCTACATTGTGCTATCTCAGAAACTAAATCAGCTTTTAAAGACATATAAATTTATGTCAACTTAGAGTTAGTGAGGGCTCCCAGTGGACAAATCTGGACAATTTAAACCCAAAAGGAATGGCTGCAACTAACTGAAACTCATGAAAATGTTTAAAATTAAATACTAAAAGTATAGAAAGTCAAAGAAAAGGAAAAATAGCTGTGCTGATGCTGTAGTTACTTTTCTATAGCTGTGACAAAACACCATGACCAAAGCAAATTATAAAAGAAAAATGTTTAATTGAGCTAATGGTTTCAGAGGGCTGGAGTAGGTGGTGTCAGAGCAAATGCACAGCAGCAGAAACAGCTGGGAGAGTGCATCTTAATCCATAAGCAAGGGCAGAGAGAGTGCATCTTAATCCATAAGCGAGGGCAGAGAGAGTGCATCTTAATCCATAAGCGAGGGCAGAGAGAGTGCATCTTAATCCATA